CCCGCCCAACTTGGTGTCGTCTGCAAACTGACTGAGGGTGCACTCGATCCCCTCATCCAGATCATTGATAAAGATATTGAACAAGACCGGCCCCAAAACTCAGCCCTGGGGAACACCGCTCGTGACCGGCTGCCAACTGGATTGAACTCCGTTCACCACAACTCTCTGGGCCCGGCCGTCCAGCCAGTTTTTGACCCAGTGCAGAGTACCCCTGTCTAAGCCGTGAGCCGCCAGCTTCTCGAGGAGAATGCTGTGGGAGACAGTGTCAAAGACTTTACTGAAGTCCAGGTAGACCACATCCACAGCCTTTCCCTCATCCACTAGGCAGGTCACCTGGTCATAGAAGGAGATCGGGTTGGTCAAGCAGGACCTGCCTTTCATGAACCTGCGTAGCTGGGCCTGATCCCCTGGTTGTTCTGCAACTTCCCTGCTTAGAAGCTCAAAGAGGGTCAATACCTGACATCTTGCTGAGGCTACATCACAAGAAGATCCATCTCAAGCTGATGGGTGTGAAGATGTTATATAGCAAACAGACTAACTGAATAATAGCAAACCTTCAAACCTGGGTGGCATTCACTCAAGTGTCAAGAGGAAACTCATACTAGAAGAAGTTAAACTACCAACTGTGGAATGCCATTTTTTGTTTCAAATCATCTTGTTACCAGAAAAATTAAAAAGGTTCCAAGTGGGAATGTGAGGAGCTATAGCCATCTGTATTCTGACATCCAGACTGGTCAGACTGGTAGAAAGTATAATAAATGATGGAATTTGTGGAAACACATATGAACATAGTATTTTAGGAAAGAGTCCCCATGGGTTGTGTATGAGGAAATTATGTCTCACTCTGCTGGAGGTATCCCAAAGAGTCAGTGAGCACATGCAGAGAAGAGAACCTGCTACCTACTCAGCTTTGCAAAGGCATTCAGAAAGGTCCCTCACCACAGACTTAAAGAAATCCACCTGAGGTTACCATGAGAGACCAACATGGATTTTTTGCAGCTATGTATTGTTGCAGGTGCCCCAAAAAGTGGGAGGGAAAGGCAGATGGCAAAATTGGCTGATAATGAAAGTTACTCATGATGATGATGCAGACTTACTGCAAGCAGTTGCAGAAGGGTTTACGGTACTGAGGGACTGAGTGACAAAACACAGGTGAAATTGAGTATGGAGGAGAGCAATGTGGTGTACATGAGAAAGTCTCCTGAAGTGCTGCGCTGAGCGTTAGCACTTCAGAATAGTTTTGTGGAGCGGTATATCAACTTAGTGCTCAGTATGTGGTGGTTCAGAATGCAAATAGGATTTGGGATGTTGCTGGGCAAGATGTAGGAACCAAAACTGTGACTGTTGGGGCCCTAAGGGTGCCAGAAGATCTTAACGGCTGTGGCCAGTCTCACCTGGGACCTCCATCCACACCCTCTGCCAGGTGTCAGAGCTGATTAATAGGTGAGGGCTTTGCAGCCTGGGAAGGAAAAGGCTGGTAGAAAGGGGGGGCAAGAGAGAAGCCCCTGCTGTTATTGTCACCAGGTAGGGACTTCAGTCATCTGTGCAGCAGAGTGTAATTGAAGTTAGCCACCTCCTTGACACCCACTAAATTACTTTCTTGTGCTAGGACATCTTACTCCACCTCCAAGCTCACGGGCAGGTCAGAACAAGTGATGCTATTTCAACTAGTCTGAAGTCATACTCATGGGATCGAGTGGGAGGTGGGGAGTGTGAACGATGAGCTGTTGAGCTGGGAATCCTGATTTAGGAATGAGCTATATGCCTTGCTGCTACCTGCTTGCTCAGTCCCAGAGCCTCTGCTTTCTGTGCTTACCATCTTGACCAAGATGGGACTGTCAGAGGGATTCTGGCACCATGAATACTGGCTGCCAGCTGGAGCTACCTGGGAAGACATGAAGGAGTCTGCAGACATACACTACCCACAGCCTCAGGACCTCTTGCTTTGCCTCCCTGGTGCCCTGCTCTTGATCATTGTCCGATGCATCTTTGAAAGGTAAGCGCAGCAAATCCAGTTTCTCCTGTGCTGGTTGCCACCAGTGTCTTGCAGGGTTGCTCCAGACTAATCCTTACCTGCTTCCTGACCACTACAAAGTGGACAGGGGATTGTCCCTAAGAATACTGAATCTCTCTGCTTTTTGTGGCATATGTTATTTGTGTGGCAGCTCTTTGCCCTGCCTTCCCCTCCCTCTCTCCTGTACCTGTAACATAACCTGTACCAGCAGGTGTGAAAAGACAAGTCTGTCACTCAGTCACACCTCAACTGTGGGTGGAGGGTCCCTCTGGAGAGAGTCCAAGTGGGAGCTTGCAACACAGATAAGGGATTTGCTGGGTACATCAGTGTTGGAAGCCCACAACTGAGCCAGGGTTCAGCCTGATCCTAGAGGATGCTTCCAAAGGTGCTATGTGAGCCCCAACTCTCAGCACAGAGGCAGAAGGAGGGGATGACTATGGCTCCTGGAGCTTGTTGTGGGACCACTTTGCTCACACCACTCCTCCTTGCCCAGCTCTGCCCTGCTCACTCCTCCCGGCACCAGAGATCCCCAGTTCAGTCAGGGATGATGTACTCCAATGCCCTAGCTGTGGTCATTCACATGGCTGAGGGAAATGGTACTCCCCAGGGGGGCCTGAGGACTGACCGGCATCTCCCCAAGACTCACATGTGGAAACAAGGCAGGTCCACATGGCTCAGCACAGGAGATGGATTCAGACTGGGCTTTGGGCCCCTTTTCCAGGAACACAGAAGCTGACACATGGGGAGGTACAGACCAACCCTCACGCACGGGAAATCGGGGAGCTGATCAGTTAAAGAGGGGCAGTGTGCTAGTGTGGTCAGACCTGCCGAGATGCTTCCCTGCCAGGGAGTAGGACTTCGGGCAGGGGGAGGCGTGAAGCAGCAAGGCTCTGCTCAGCAAACTTGCCCTCAGCTGGGACATGGGCTTTCTCCTGTGGCCTAGAGGAGCTGGGGGAGCACTGGCCCATCTCCCTGGAGAGCTGGCTCTTGCCTGCTGTGCACAGTCATGTGAGAAGCTGTGGCAGACAGGGGCTGTAGGAAGAGCCAGAATTAATTCCAGGGTCTTCAGGTCTTGCCTCAGAGATGTTGCACTTGCCTGGCTTCCCAGAAACAAGATTTTAGAAACCAGTACCTCCCACTAGAGCCTTGCTGGGGTTTCCTGCAAAGCTAGTGTTTCCTGCAGGAACCAGCATATCCCCATGTGCTCTGCCCTTGGCTCCCACTGCAGCCAATGGTCAGGTACCCTGGGCCCAGAGCACGTGGGACACTCGGACACTTGCAGACTGGTTTCATGGCATGGTCTGGACTGCTTGGGAACATTGTAAACTCCAACACACAGAAATGCAAGGCATCTCGGGGCCTCGGCAGAAGAATTAATTATTGCTTATTTTGTAGTTGTTATTGTTGTCTCCACTGCACATCCAGCATTCCTCACCTTTGCTCTGGTGCCATTGCATCTCTCTCAAGAAAGAGCATTGACCTGACAGAGGCACTGTGTGCTCCTGGAGCAGTACTGGGTCCCTTGGGCTGTGCATGCATAGCTGGGGTAGTGCTGGATCCCCTGGGCTGGGTGTGTGAGCACCCAGGGCAGTGCTGGACCCCTGGTGCAGTGCATCCATGCACAGGATACAGCGCTGGCAGGATCTTGCTGTTGGCTGACCCTGGCTCACAGCGCGGGCACACACATCCTCTCCTGGCTGAACTTTCCTCTTGCAGAACCGTAGCTCTGCCCTTGGGCAGGAGGTTGGGTGTGAGTGACAAGCTGAGGCCCATAGTTCAGCCCAATGCCACGCTGGAAGGCTTCTACGTTCTGCTGGGCAGGACCCCAAAGGAGGTGAGTGTCCCCTGTGTCCCAGTGTCCCAAGCAAGCTTGCCCAGGCAAGCAATACCTTCTCCCTGTCCAGATACCCAAGCCCAACCAAACCAGCCTCAGAGGCAAGGCAATTACTGCTAACCACGCTTCCAGGGAAGAAGATATATATAAGCAGATATTTCAGCATCTTCCAACATGTTCAACAGCTGCAATCCCAGCAACCCCTGACCTTCTGCATATCGAATACAGCAGGTAGTGTGAGAGCTGATGGATCTGGTAAGGAGGCAGCCATCACCCCCTTTGACTAAAGTCTACGGATAAGGCTCCTTATTTTTAGCAGAACTACAAGTCCTTCAGAATCATAGAATCATTTAGGTTGGAAAAGACCTCTAAGATCATCAACTCCAACTGTTAACCTAGCACTGCCAAGTCCACCACTAAACCATGTCCCTAAGCACCACATCTACACATCTTAAATACCGCCAGGGATGGTGACTCAATCCCTTCCGTGGGTAGCCTGTTCCAGTGCTTGACAAGCCTTTCAGTGAATAAATTTTTCCTAATATCCAATCTAAACCTCCCCTGGCGCAACTTGAGGCTGTT